AGATATCCAAATATAATCTAGTCTTGATGCCACATTTCTAGAGTTCTTTCAGGTAAAACCTGGATTGAATGGGTTGAGGGTCCTGTAGCAATCAGTGTAGTCCAGGTTTTGTAGAACCTGGAGTGCAGTTGAGGTGGGGAGTTGGAAGTTGTGTTTTTTACTGATTGTTAATTGTTGATCTATCCGTAGATTCACTACTGAATTGAAGTCTCCTAGAATGATCATTTTCCAGTTCTTTCCATGTCTCTTTAAAATTTCATCTTCTATCTATTTATTTACTTTTCTCTTCTCTTGGCCATCTTCTGCTGGTATGTACATTTCTATAATGCCAATGTGTTCTTTTCCCTTAAATTGCAAGTCGATACTTATTACTCTCCCTGAGTATTCTGTGATTTTTTCTATGTGTTTGCCAATATCTTTTTTGATTAGGAATGCAACTTCGGCTTCTTTGTTGTTATTGTTTCAGGTTATATTGTATGTTGGGTGTTTCCAGTATTTGTGATTCTCACTCTGTATTTGTGTCTCTGTAAGAAGAGTGATGTCAATGTTTCTGAGAGTACAGTATGTAAATATTGTTTGTTATTTGGTAGGATCATTAAGACCTCTAACATTGTGTGTTAAGATTTTCCATGATGTAATGATTTGTTAGTGGAAAGTGGATTATTGTCAGGTAAGTTGTCTCCAGTATGTGTAGATGTTAACTTCTTGGATTGTTCCTTGTTGGATCTAGTTTTGTTGCTCATCTGGGTTGTTGAATTGGGGGTTTGTGTTTGTTGTGATGTCAATAAGTTGGTTGAGTGTACCTACTATATCTTGAAAGGTGTTGTTGATGCTTGTTATCCTTGTGTTGAGATTGAGTTGTTGTTTCCTAATGTTTGAGTTGTCTACCGCTGGACTTGTTGCTTGTCTTTTTCGTTGGTAGTTAAAGTCTTTGGGTTCTGGGGTTTCTGCCCATGGTGGATTTTGATTAAGATATTCTTTGCCTATATCGATGGCTGTTTCTATTTGTTTTTCATTGTCTACTGTGTAAAAGTATGTGAAGTTTTCCAGATTCTCAATTCTGGTATTGAGGTCAGTGATTGTTTCTTTGATTTGTTTAAGCTCTGCTCCTATTGTTTGGACTGCTTTGAGAACTTCTGTTAGTGATGACTGGAGATTGATCATTGCTGCAGGGTTCCCTGCTATTAGGTTTGATGATTTGTTAGGAAGTTGTTTGGCTATGTGTGTGAATGATCCTTTATTTGAGAACTAGCTGGTGGCCTTGTTAATTTGTTCCCGAGTTCTAAGTCGATCATGGTTTCCTGACTTGTTAGCTTGCTAGTTTGCAATTTTCCTGATTTGTGTTGTTCCTTTTGGTTTGAAACATTGGTAAAGTATCTTATATCTTTTTGTTTTTTCTCTGAGTGCTTGTTATTTTTCTTGATGCTTGGCCTTGATTGTGCATTATGCTACCAAGTAGTCAGGTGAGTTGCAGATTGTGCAGAGTTTCTCATCTATCTCATGCCATTGGAGTAGTGTTTCGCCAAGATATATCTCTTTGCTTTTGGCTTTTTCTTTCTCTTCTAGTGTTACGAAGTTAAGAATAGCAAATCATTTTCTTGTGTAGTTGCAGTTCTGGGGGATGTGACATAACGCTGTCTTGATATTATTGATAATTTCATGCAAGTCGTATCCAGTAGTACCTGGTGGCAAGTTTGTGAGTCTAAGGATGTGCCTGTCTCAGAGTAGCTTGGTTTCATGGGTTTTGAGGAGTAGATGGATTCTTAGGAGTTCTTCTTTAAAAGAAATATTCCATCTTTTCACAATTTTGTTATAATCTTCTTGTTCTTCAAATTCAGCTAGTGCGCTTTGCCACATGTCTGTAGTGCCTATTTTTAGGCTACAGATTTGGCCGAATTGGATCAGTTTTTGTTTGATTTCTTGTTGATTGGTATCTAAAGGGATATCCCAGATGCGAATGGTTTTACTTTTGACTACTGCCAGGTCAAAGTTGGCAAGGATTGTTATGTGGTGATCATTGCCTTGCTGGTTGTCATTTTGCATGCTTTTTATGTGTCCTTTTGATTGGCAAAGAAAGTGATAATCAATTTCGCCCCTGTTGCTGTGCCACCCAGGTGCCTGTATAGAAATTCAGGTGGATGACTGCTTCTTTGACTGTCTTAAGTTTTTGCTCCATGGAGCCTGTTAAGTGTTCTGTCTGGATGGCTATTTTGTAATGAAAATGGTCGTATTGGATGTGCCAGTCTGTAGGCAGGCCCAGTGACTGTCTGGGTTGTCTGAGTGGCTTGGCGTTGGTGGGCAGAGTCTCCTCCATTTTATTTCCTGGTTCTGAGGATGTTGTCTCTTCATTTGACTTGTTAAACGTTGGTGGGGTGTGTGCCCATTGGGGCTCTTTCGTATTTATGCAGGTGTCCTCTGCCCAAGTGTAGGCGGCTTCTACTCCTTCCTCTGAAGTTTCTAACTAGCTGAATGCCTTGCTTCCGCTTGCTTCAGGCGTGGTTGGCCGTTGGTTTTTCTTTTGTTTTTGTTGCGTTTTGGATACCTGGTGTAGCAGGTAGTTAGGGGTGGGCAAGCCTACGCTCCTGAAGATGTTGGGCTTGTGTATTGTCATGGCGGATGGGTCTTTTGGGCTAACTCTCAGCTGTTTACTGTAGATTTTAAACAAATCTGGATGAACAGGAAAGAGTTTTTTTTTTTTGAAAAACAAAGTATTATTTTTATTTAATTGGATAAATAAAATTATAAAATGAAAAAAAATAAAAAGATTTATATATTTATAAAGACTTATATACTTAAAGTTAATCAAATCAAATTTCAAATCCAAAATCAATTTAAAACTTAATATTTTTAAATTTATAAATATAAAAATAATTGATTATAAAATATAAATTATTCAAAAAAATATTAAGCTCTCTAAATTAAATTAAAAATTAAATATAAAATATAAGTTTAATAAAAATAATTATTATTAAAATACATATTAATTCTATATAAATAAATATATAAGTAAAATTTAAGATTAAATAATTAAAATAAACTGTTTAATTACAAATCAAAAATCATTTTTTTAAAAAAAACTTTTAAGTTAAAATAAATAAAAATTATTATTTGCAAGAGCTAAATTTAAAACAATTTTTTTAACAATCTTAATAGTATCAAATAATAATAAAGTAAGAAATTCAAGTAGTATTAATCAAAGTTAAAGTATATAGTCAAGATATAACTAGAAATTATATTAATTATTTGGTTAAAACAGTTAAAAAAAAATAGAAAATTTCTTAAAAAGAGTTATTAAAAATTTTTTAATTTGAATTTTCTTCTAAAATAATATTTTAATAAATATTTCAATAATATTATTTATTAAAAACTTGTATAAAAGAAAAATTTTAATTCAATAGATTAATTAAAATAAAATTCAAGTCAAATAAATAAAAAGAAAAGATTCAAATTTAAAAAAATTAATTAAAAAAAATTTTGACAATATTATAAAAGAAAAGACTTACTAAATATCTTATTTAAGTAAATAAAAAATAGAATATTCAAGATTAAATTAATTTATAATAAATTTTTAATTTTAAACAATATATTTAAATATAATAAAAAACTTTATGTAAATATACAAAAAATATATTTTGTAAAATAAAAAAAAAATAGAAATGTTTTTATAAAAAAGACTTTAAAGAAATGGATTTTCAAATATTTTATTTTTAAAAAATCAAAGTAGAAAAGAATTATTTTAGCTTTTAAAAAAATAAAAAAAGAAAAATATCAAATTAATTAAAAAAATAATCAATTATGTATTAGTTTATAGAAAAAGAAAATCATTTTAAAGTAAAAAACAAATTTTTAAATTTTTTAAATTTTTTATATTCAAGTATATAAACTATTGATAAAGATATTTAAGATATAATATAAATTATTAAAATTATATATAAAAGAATTTAATTAAAAGAATTTATTAAATAATAAAAGATTTATAAAAAAAATCCAAAGAAATTTTTTAAAACAAAATTAAAAAAAGAAAAAATAATTAAAAATATAAAAAATAATTAAAATTTTGATAAAACAAACTATAGTAATTAATTGTAAAAATGATTTCAAAATATACTTTAAAACAAATATATTAGAACAATTAATTTTATTTATCTTCAAAATTATATTTAGAGATAATTTTATTTAAGATAAATATTTAAATATTATATTTAAAAAGTTTGTATATAAATATATATTAAGATTAAATATATTTTATAAATACTGATTTGATTATAAAAAAAAATAAATGTTTAAACATATTATATTTAATTGTTGTTATTTATAAATTATTTATTTTTTTAAATTTAATATACTGTATAATATATATATTTATTTATTTATATAATAGCAATACGTTATTTTTTTTAAAGAAAACTTATTTACAGATTAATGGGGTTTTTAAATTTCAAATTACAGAATTGCTGTAAAAAGTAATTTAAAATATACAGTACATATATTTACACAGCTTTTCTATAATCATTTAAAACTGGGAATAGTTTACCAAAAAAGTACATGTATTATTTCTGCAAATGAATTAAGTATTCACGTGTAGACAGAATGTCCCGGATCATATGACTTTATATGATCTGGCGCAAATTGTATGAACTCTTCATTGAATAATATAAATATCTTTTTTTTATAAAAAAAAAGGGAAAACCAGAAATAAACGAACTTATATACATATTACTCTAATTGCCTGTCATCATGAAACGAGTGGTTTTCTAAACAATTGACATTGTTGAGCGCATTCTGTCACCTAACTAAATACGTTGTATCGGCATATTTCCAATTGTATTATCAGCAATTTTGCAGCAAAAATATCAGATGATGAAGGTTTTTACCCCTTAACCTTTATATTGTATATATAAGCATTACCTTGGTCCCTCGAAACGTTTTTCGACTCTTTCGAAAAACACCAGTCTTCCAAATAACAACACATCCATAAATAACATAATATCAAATTCGAAATGGATAGTCATAATCCTAATTCCGATATTTTCTCTTCGCCACACATCCTTCATGTAAATTCAAACACTCACAATTGTATCGCCAGGTTAGTTCACTCGGGATTATATTCAAAAAAGAACATTCAGAAACATGTGGTACAGACGTATTTTGATGCTCACGCTGGTATGTTATATGATAACAACATATGGTTCTTGCAAATGCAATGACCATCGGTATTTTCCAATCCTTCATTAATTTGTACTTCTTTTTATGTAACAGTATTTGAGAATCCACTTATAGCAGTAGAATCCCATTCAGAAATCATCAATATCTTCACGTTGGCATCCACATTCTTCTTCGACATCACTCCTGAAATCCACAGTGTCACCGATTGCCCAATAGCCGGAAATCATCACATCGTATGCATCGACTCCGTGATCAAATATCGCCTTCCATTGCGCCTACCACCCATTCCCAACTTGATAATACCATTTTTTTGTGCCAATAATGATAGATGTTGTATTTTTAGTAATGAAATCAACTTAAGAATTATTTCGAGGTTTGAGTTTAATGAACAAAAGAAGATAGTGAGGCATGAAGACGTGTGGAGTTTAAAGGATTTGGTGGAATCTGTGCCGATAATTGGGTGGTTGTATGCGGAGGTGGCGAGAAAGGCAACTGGGTTGGTGACCAATGGTATCGTGATGCTAATACAGGAGTTGACCATGGCGTGGAATAAGTGGGAGGTCTAAAGGCTATGACGTGGAATTGTCCATTAGAAGATTTCTTTATGACAAATATTATAGTATTTATGTATGAATTATTATTTTGCTTTTTTTAGATACGTACAGTATATAACTTATATTATCAGTTCTTTTTTATTATTATTATTATTATTGTTAGATCATAATATTCCCCTATACCTTACAATATTCTTCTAATTATAAATGGTGGTGAGATATTTTTATTATAGTATATTAAATAATTATGTTGATGTATATACTGTAAATAATAAATTGATTGACCAATAAAGGCAATTTTTGATTTGTCTAGGAAAGAATATACGCGAATAGGTTACTGTAAACAAAGTGTATAACAACCAACCAAGGGATTAATACATGCAAGCTTATCCGTGTGTGATTTTGAATGGGTGAGAATATTTGAAGAACTTTTTGTCATCGGTGATAGTCTAAGATGAAATTGTCAAGATTAACAGAAGTAGACAAGACACAGAATTCTTCTTTCATATCACAAAATGCGAAGAAACCTCACCACTGCATAATTTCCGGCCTTGAAACTCCGCGGCAATTTAAACGTGTAACTACCTTTGGATAAATTTACATTTTCCCCGATAGTCAAAGCTCGCTTTAAATCATCGTTGCCATGATCTTCAAGAAGATATATGTTGGCAATTTTCACGCCTCCAAAATCTTTGTCAGACCATAAAACCTCAACTTGCGAGCCGGTAACCCAGACAGTCTCTATTGAATAAATGATCGTGTGATTAAGCGAAGAGAAAGAAAGAAAAATCTCTTCCTTGATGGTTATTTTACCTGCCCATGGTTGCAGAATTTCACCAAAAACATTGTTAACGGAAAAAGATATAATAATACAAATTAGGAGGAGTCTGACCATATTATTTATATTTGGATTGTCGTGTTATGATAAGGAAAGTTTGATCTTTAAGGATTAGTTTGGTCGAAGAAGAGTGTTATGCTTAAATACTTTTCATTTGAATTCCTAGTTTATTCGAACCAAATGATTTCATTACGTGAGATAAAACATTATTTAAATGATGAAACGCGTAGACGTTCAAATAAATTATCATATATCCACATATCTTTGTATACCAGAGGAGAGTTAATTAAATCAATAAGTAATTTCTATACATAAGTTGATAAATTATTTAAGATATTACACCGCCGCATTTACGTATAATCGGTCGTGAAGCAAATGGAGGATTGTTCGTATCAACTTTATCATAAATTATATTGGTCCTCTGTTCAATATCCGCGCCTTTCTAATGGATAAGGTTTTGATATTAAGTAATGTCCTGATGTAAATTTAATATCGTTTAAATAATTATTTAAAGATAAAAGACACCGCCTCTGATCTGTGATATTTTATTTAATAACAAAATTTAAAAAACGAATATTTCTAGATATCAGGTACTAGATATGAGTCAATTATTCGATTATAAGATTAACTTGGAAATTGATATCGTTAAACATTTAACCCGACTTTGCGCTACATTTAGTGCACAACTAATGTACTTATTGCTATTCACCTGCAAGATCTTCTTGAAAGTGAACAATTGATTTGCTAATGATCATGGGGTAATTTAATTTTTGTTTCGTTTAGCATGTGTGTTCAATCTTCTAGGAATTGAGAATTTAAGTTTTGACAGTGCATCGATTCGAATCGCCTCGTTTGACATACCAGTCCAAAGATCTTGAAATGGGAAAGACAATTATGAAATCTAATTTCTGGAATGATATATGAAACAATGTGTACGATTAAGGCTGAATGAAGGACAACTCAATCTAGCAAATGTCTTGCATTACCATATTTAGATTTATAAATGGATTATTCTGTAAATTTAATTTTTACTATTTTGAGCACGAGTATTCCAGTAAATCACGGAGAACAAATTATCCTGATATGCATTCAATATACTGTAAATTGCAATGTTTTTTTCATGTGTTTACCATTTTCACAACTCTTTGTTTTAACTGGTAAATAGACATTTTTTAAATACTTTTTTTGAACTGTTTATTCCATGACAACTTTAATATACTGTAGGTTACAGATATTGTTATACATGTATGTTTAAATTTTTTATTTAAATTTTGTATGATGTTTTTTAAGAATATTATTACTATTATCAATAGTCAATTTTTTTATTATAATATTCAATTATACTATTTATTAACATAAGAAAAAACCTTTGTTTATATTGTTATAGAAAAAACAACAACAAATACTAGTGTCTTAAAATAGCATATCAATAATTCTTAATTTTGTTATTTTTTTTATTTCTTTTAACTATATATACTTTATATATTCTATAAATTCTATCAAGAAATTTTTTTGAAAAAACTCTAAAGATCTTTAAATTTAAAGAAAATTTTTTATATTGAAATAATTCAAATATTTTTAGAGTAAATACAATATATAATATTTAAATATTATTTTAAAATACTTTAAAAATATTATTATCTACTAAATTCAAAATTGATTTTTTTAAATTTTCTGTAATACTAATTTCATAATTATATGTTTTTTATATTCAATAAATATAAAATAATTTTATAAAACTTTAAACTTTATAATTTTTTTATTAAATTTAAAAATTTTTTAACAACTTATTAAAATCTTCAAAAAAAATTTATATAATAGTTTATAAAAAGTATTTACATTTAAAGTTTTTTAAAAAATAAATTTGTTAACTAAGTACTTATTTTTTTATTAAAATAAAGTATTATATAAATAACTAGCCAGTATATTAGAATAAATTGTAAAATATAACAAATATTATATTTTAACTCAAATAAAAAATCAAAAAAATATATAAGGATTTGAATTTAAAATTATAATTAATTTTTAATACTTTAAAATAATATTATAATTTGTTATAAAGACAAATCTGTTAAAATAAGATATTTTAATATTATTTCAAGCCAAACATCTATTAATTACAATATAAACCTAATTAGAAGCAAAAATATTTTCATTTAGAGCAACAGAAATTTTGAATAGTATTAATTCTTAAGTTTTGAAAATAGTTAAAATAAATAAATTTTGTAATAAAAATTGATAATGATAATAATTGTTTTTATTTATATTAAAGTAATAAATCTGCTTATAGATATTAATATCAACTATTGAATTTTAAACAAAAAAAACAATATAAACATACTAATCCAAAATATTTATATTTGTAATCATACCTACTGTACCATTACATATACCTTAATAGATCAAAAGATTATTAAGATACAGTGTGTTACAAAAGTCTTTGGACTAAGGATAGGTCCCTAAACTATTTAGCATATAAAATTTTGCAGATCAATTATGTTCCTTTTGAAGGGATATAATTATTTATTCAT